TACTGAAAGAATGTACTTTTAATTAATTTTTATATACATATATATAAGTACATGTAAATTAGATGAATATTTATATCTATAATAAATAAATTAAATTTAAAAAAATTCTACGTTATAGACACCCAATCCTCATTGGCATCAGACAGAAAATCGAGAGACTCTAAGAAGAATAGATAATATTGTCAACGAGAGATTAAGAATGACATCATCTAATAATCGAACACAAACATTTTGTCAACCACCAGCACAATGTGTTCCTAGACAACCATCGTTTCCAAGGCAAACAGAACAGTCAATACGTCCAATGGTTTCAGTACATCCATTAATCTCTGGACGTTTTCCAGTACCAACGTATCCTAGACATCGACCAGTATCTACACATCCTGTGATTTTTTCTCAATCCGTTTCTCGACAGCCAACGTTTCCTGGACATAAAGTTGTCTCCAAACTGCCAACAGTTTCTGAAAATACATCAATTCTTAGTTCACCAACAATTCCTATTCAACCAACCGTTCCTAAGCCACCAACGCTTCCTATGCAGCCTACAATATCGAAAAATCTTACAGTTCCTACTAATCCAACAGTTTCCTAGAATACAAAGTCAAATACTTTATTGAATTCAATTCCCTCTGTGCAAGCAACTTCTCCAAAGTCAACGGCAGGTAACCGAAAACGAACAACTAGATGGGACATTGATTCACAAGAACAGTTAAAAAAATCTATTATTACTATATCACCTCCTACAGAGAATCCAATCGAACCTTACACTCCCACTTCAATAGAAACATATTTTTATACCCCTACACCAAAGTTGCAACTTGAATCACAATTTAAACCTTCTTCCGGAAAAGCTGATTCCACGAGTGACTCTTCCTCGACTGACTCTTCCTCAAGTGATACTGATTCTTCTTCAAGTAATACTGATTCTTCAAACGGGCCTTCTAAAGAAATTGTGACAAATAATTTGACTGAACCAACTCCAAGTCCTTTAAAAAAAAAAATTGAGAAAAACTCAATTAGTTCAATGCCTTCTCCAAAAAAAAGCAAAAATAATTCAAGGAAGTCGAGATCTGGAAAAATCATTAAGAATAATTTAACTGATCCAACTCCGGGAACTTCTGAAATAAACACCAAACATTTAATGAAAATGTCAACTGAAGATTCTTCTACGTCCTTGGAAGATATAAAAAAATTAAAAAATCAACCTTTTGATCCTCGGGAAGAAGCAGTAAGACTTGATAATATTTGTGCAAGAAAACCAACTAGACCACGCAAAACCAGTTCAAAAAAAAATCAGATAACTCTGACCCATCAGTGTCGAAAAAAAAAGATGAGTGACGTATTGAAAATTGTACTTCTTTAATTAAAAAAAAAAAAAAAAACTTTTATGTGCGGGACTGTTCGTTAATCAGTCGATTTAAAAAAATGTTATGTTTACAGCAAAAAAGTTTGTTGCGTTTCATCGTAATTAAAAAATACTTTTTATGTGTTTGACTGTTCGTTAATCAGTCACTTAAAAATTTCTTCTTTATATTTAGTGTGTGCGACTGTTCGTTTATCAGTCGATTTAAAAAAATGTTTTACTTACAACAAAAAGTGATTTTTGCGTTTCAGCGCAATTAAAAAAAAACTTTTTTATGTGTTTGACTGTTCGTTAATCAGTCACTTAAAAATTTCTTCTTTATATTTAGTGTGTGCGACTGTTCGTTAATCAGTCAATTAAATTTTTTTTAAATTTAGTGTGTGACTGTTCGTTTATCAGTCGATTTAAAAAAAATGTTTTGTTTACAGCAAAAAAGTTTGTTGCGTTTCATCGTAATTAAAAAATACTTTTTATGTGTTTGACTGTTCGTTAATCAGTCACTTAAAATTTTTTTCTTTATATTTAGTGTGTGCGACTGTTCGTTAATCAGTCGATTTAAAAAAATGTTTTATTTACAACAAAAAGTGATTTTTGCGTTTCAGCGCAATTAAAAAAAAAAAATACTTTTTATGTATGTTTTCGTTAAAAACTAAAATTTAAAAGTTTTATAAAATTTGGTTTATGTGAGATTTTCTTCGTAGGTCATGCAATTTAGCAAAAAAAAAAGTTTTGTTTACAACAAAAAGAGAGATGGCTACACTTTCAGCGCAATTTAAAAAAAAAAAGTATTTTTATCTGTGATTCATTAATTAATCACATAATTTAAAAAGAAAAGTCAATGTTACATTTAGTGTGTAAATTGCTTTTCAAATGATTTAATAAAGCAAATGTTACATGTTTAGAGTGTTTATCATTATTATTATTATTTGTTATTTGTTACCTTTCTTAATTCAATATACAACTATTTCTTAACCATTTTAAAATTGAATACAAATTATAGTAATTTAAAAACTGACTAGATGTTAATAATATTAATAATAATATAAATCTAATTTATTACATTAATAAAAAAATTCATTACAATAATTAAACTATTTAATATAATATTATAAATTATTTAAATAATTAAATTGGATTGTACTTGAATTCTATAGAATTTCATAATTTATTTAATTTAAAAAAAGGTTTAGTTTTAAGAAATTGTCGATCGAGAGAAGCTGATGGCGTATGAGAGAGAGAGAGAGAGAGAGAAGATTGACACATAGTGGGGACGCGTGGTGGGGACCGCCGTGGTGGGGATCGCTGGTATACAGTGAAGCCCGCCAGCCACCAGAGTCATTCATTCTTTCAGCTTCCAACAATTCAGATCAAAATAAATTTCTCCTTTCAGCTTTCTTTTTTTTCAGTTTTCATATTTAATTTGTCTAATATTTCTCATAAGCGTTTTTATCACATAAGTATATTTTTAGCAATTTAAATTTTCTTTTATAATTTTTAAAAATGGATACCCCTCATAACACAAAAAATGAAGAGGATGAGGACCATCCAATTATCGATATCTATGATGAGGTTCCTATAAATAATGATGAAGTCACCATCGTGGACGACAATAATGACAGTCAGGCAGACACAATTATTATAAGTGACTCTGACTCAATTATTATAAATGACTCTGACTCACAGTCAGATGTCTCCCATAATTCTGATAATGATTCAGACTGCTTAATAATAGACGTTGACCCAGAAGAGGTTAGTTTTCAAAATCAAATTTAAAATTCTCGTAAATTATGATTTATAAAAGAATATGTACATATTTTTTTCTTGTTCTAGATGTTAGAGCTTTTAGAAGAACTGACACCAATTGAAGAGATGTACAATGTTATTGATGTAGATTTCAATGTAAATTTTGTTGTAGACTTTTTAAGACCTGCTACACCTTCTCCAAACATGTTATCAAATTGTGAAAACTAAATTTTATATGTGAAAATAGAGAAATTTTTTAATATTATTAGAGTATCAAATTTTTTCTATTCAAAGCCGAAAATATTTTGTATTTCACACCAATTTTGGTATACACCTGCGCCTGCGCATATAAGGTTGAGCGTTAAATCTGCGCGCGCATTATACGAGCGTCTTGAATTTATTGAAGGGGGCGGGTCATATTTGCGTGCGCATCACAATATGTGGTGGGGTTTATAAAAAAAGTGGGGTACCGATAATATAAGGCGATGCCGAGCCACTGGAGTCATTCTTTTTTTCAGGACTCCCTAGTATTAATAATTATAGACTTCTCACTCATTTACAGTACTTTTATTGCAGGTATTTCTAGTTTTAACTTTTTTCAAGTTTTTTTTTCCATTTAGCATTTTTATTTATAATTCTATTTTTAGCTATTACAGGGTTACTTTTTTAATTTCAGAGTTTTTTATCCTGTCTTTTATTTTAAAAAAATGGATCTCGAAAAAGTTAATGCAGTTGGTCGATTTGAAGGTTACCTGCCTACAAAACCTCTCGCAGAAATGACTAAAAATGGTCTTTATTATATCACCAAAATGAAGAAGGTTCAAACCAAATACGGACCGAGAATAATTGTTGAAGTAAATGCAGATTTTATAACATATTTACCATCGAGATTCGCCAAGCATTTTGACGATGAACCAAGCTCGCTGGAAATGATGCAAGAAGCAGCAATAGCCAAGCAGCTTCAAATGAAATATGAATCAATTTCAATTTGTAAAATAAAAATTGTAAAATAAATGTATGTATATAAAAAAAATGTTGAAAAATACAGAAAAATTTTATCTATAAAATTGGTTTTTAATTTTCTTTCCTCTCCCTAGTAGAAGTTAAGTAGTACAATAAGTTTATTTTCAGGTATTGTAAAATAATGTTTAATTTATTAAAAAAAAAAGGTTTAAAATTAAAAAACAACATATTTTGAATTCAATGTTATTAATGTTTATTTTTTTTAGAAACGTTTAAAAACTATTTACAAAAATGATTCACAATTTTCATAGAAAGATTTTAAATTAGTAAACGTAGAATCAACTTCATCAGTTTCTTTAACAATAGCACTTATATATTGGTTTGGAGGATCCAAAAACCAATTGCGAAGAATCTTTACATTTTTTACAGCACAATTATCATTATAAAGAGTATGATGCGTACATGTTAACAAATCAGATTTAATTTTTTTCAACGATGGACATTCAAAATCTTCTAAATTTTGTACATTTACTAAATATTTTTCTAGCCATGTCTTCTTTTCTAATCCTTTTACATAGATGACACTAGCGCCTCGTAATACATCTTGTAGAATGGGACGAAGTTCATCGTAAGAGACGTCTCCAGCTGTCCAATCTATTCCATGGTAATTGTGTGTTAACCAGCGATTTTCACTTTTATAGCGTCCTGGCAATGAATTCCACGTACAAGGTGATTCAAATAGGTAGACAAGTGGTTGAGCATCTGATTGAAGAGGAAGTATTGCCAACTCTTTGAAAATAAAATCGTTGTAGGGTCTTTTAAATCCTTGAACGTCCACAATGAACTCCATGTTGAATCAGAAATGAATTTTTGACTGAAAACTACTGCATTTATACCGAATTATACCCCCCACCACTTTACCCCCACTCCTCTACAGCAACTTCTTGACTACGCCGCTGATTGGTTTATATTGTACAACGCGGTCATGGATAATGAGGCAATATGCAGTGGTCTCAGCCGGCATATTATTTCCTGATTCAAATTCTAAACGTACATCTACTGATGCTTGTTTAAGAAACTCATTTTGTTTTGAACAATCAATAACAATTAGAGGAAATAGTTGTTTAAAAATAGCCCTTGTTAAAATAGGTTCTGAGTCTTTTCCATAGTAAGATGTTTGAAAATTAGCATACATTTCATAAAGCAGAGCATACTGATTTTGATCAAAGTTTAGATTTAAATTTCCATAAGGGTAATATTGTGAATTTAAAAATAGTTTAACATTTGTAATGTTACAATGATCAAAATGACAGGCATATTTTTTTCGTTTATCTTTTCTTGCTGTTTGAAATCCTACAATTACATATCGTGGTTTCTCCAATTGTGTTGATGTTTTTATTTGCCATAGGACTTTTGAACTTGTTGGAACTAACGGATACTCGTACATTTCCCATGATCGAAAACTTATTGAAATTAAAGGATCTTTTTCAATGAATTTTAATAATTTTATTTTACTATTATCAGCTGGTAAAACGTATGGTACCATCCATTCTAGTTTATTGATGAAAATTTTAAATTCTTCATCAGCTCCTTGTCCTGTTTGTATTATAGCATTAGTATCATTACGTGCTCTTGTTAAAATAAGTTCATGTTTAGCGTTCATAAGAATTTTCTTATAATCCTCAGCAAAACCAAAAATCATGCCAAGTGGTATTGTAACATCAAAATATCCATTTTCTAAAGTAATTCTTGAATCAGCTGAAATTTTTGAAAACCCTGCATTCTCACTTAGATTTAGCTGAGGTGGAGTCAGAGATACTAAATTTTTCATTATAGTTGTATGTCCAACGTATTTGCATCGATCAATCTCGATACCATTTAATTCATAGCGAATTTCATCAAATAAAAAACATATTGCATTGCTAGACAAGTGCACGTTTTCTGTAACGGCAATACCATCATTTTTAGTCAATTTTCCAAATATGTGCAATGAACTTTTACTCGGTAGAATACATAAATCTTGATGTTGAACTGCAATTCGAATTTCATCACTATTGTTAAAAGAGGATGAAGCATACGGTTGATGAGCATGAATTTCATAATGAGCTATTGACTCATCAAAATTCACTGCTGCTGGAATGTTGAGAATTTCGTCCATTTTTGTTGCAACAACACCCAAAAAATATATAAATTATTTGTCTTGGCGTTTTCCTTGAGGTATAACTTTTAGACCTAGTTTTTTCAGGAACAGGCAATTCTGAGGTGTTAACACCTTGTGAGACAAATTTAAACTGATTTGTCTTTGACATGTTGGTTGACTTTTATAGTTTCCACCAACTTTTTGATTATATACAATTCCCATTACATTGACTTTATGTGCAATCGGATAGTTATAGTTTCTCCTCGAAAATTAATCAAATCACCGTCCTGATCGACAATGCGGAGTTGAATATTATGTATTGTCTTGACAACAATCGGAAGGTAAATGACGTGTGCTGGCACTTCCACAATCTTATATCCTGGTGGAACGCTAGGGAAGAATTCATGGATGGTGTGGGCCTTTTGATTATTTATATACGCTCCAGATGTAATGCTACACTCAACTCTGACTGAATTTACCTTGAGAATTGCTACAGGTAAATCAGAGATGTGTGTTTCATTAGGTGATAATTTCCGCGGCATAAATCCCAATAATTTACCAATTGAATCTTTATGTTTAAAATCAATTGGTAAATTTGATTCAACTAAACAGCGTAATGTATTGTTATTAGGTTTTATACTAATAACAGTTCCAAGTTTCACAGAATCTTTTATACATGTTTCAATATCTTTAATTTCATAACTTCCAGTTGGTATATCAATTATATGATTACCAATGTAAAATTTATTGTTACCTTCATCAATATTGGGAATAGAATTAAAAGTCAGTAATTCAACAAGACCGAGGACATAATTTTTATTTGGATTAAGTTCTATTGGAGGGAAATATTCAGCTTCAAGAACTGAAGTGTTTCCAGTTAGTGTTAAAGTAAACGAATCACTCATGATGCTGTCAGTTTATATACTAAAAGATTACAAAAGTTACATGTTCTTATATAGACTAAAGCTACTCTTAACATCATTAAGTTGTTTACATAAAAATTTTAAACATAAATGTCCACACACATAAGTATCATAACTTTGATATCTCTCATGATTATATTTTATTAAGCTACCATCACCCAAGTATGTGATTAGATCTGTTGGTGGAGGAAGGTTGCCAAAACTATCAAAATACATTATTTCGTTATTACATTTTTTATATGCCACCCAATGTGTTCCTGGACCTTCTTTATTATCCAAGTTAATAATTCCAGACTCATATCGATAAGGTCCTTTAAAAGGTAGTTCATTTCGCATAAAAACTCCTCGAAAATATGGTATTTTCATAGTTTTAGCATATTTCAACAGATCAAAATCAGTTAGAGGACGGTGAGGTAGCTTCAATGCAAGTTTTTTTTCTTCCTTAATGTTGGTTTCTTCTTCTTTTTTAATCCTTTCCCCTGAATGTAGGGTTTAATATGAAGACCAAGTCCTTGTCGGTAGGGTTTGAGATGTAATCCTTTTCCAAGAGATATTGCTTCCATTGCTTTATTATGTCGTTGAGCTTCAACAAGTTGTTCCTTGGCAGTTTTAGCCTTATTTACAGCTTTCACTATACCTGAAGCTCCACCAGCAAGAGCTCCCAAAGCACTAAGTCCAGCAAAAATGGGAACTAGTGGTAAAATACCACCAACTTTAGAAGGTACAGGTAGAATTCGCGGTGACAAAATTTTTGATTTACCACCAGCATTCTTTATTGCTTCTTTTGCACCAATCAGAGCAGCTTGAATTGATTCTCCAGAATTATGATTAGGTAGCATACTTTTTTTAGCAGCATCAACAACTCTTCGTAATGCTAGTCGCTTTTTCTTACACATGGTTTTTCTTTTCTTCTTCATTGTAGACTTTTTCTTCCTTTTCATTCCCATACCTAATGTTGATTTAGCTTTCATCGTTCCAGATATCGCTAAAGCTGCTGCCTTTTCACTAATACTAGAATACTTAGATGTAACACGTTGCCACGCCTTTTCAGCTAGCTCTTGGTCTGCAACGTTTCTTGCTTTAATGTTTTCTCGATTTTGCGAATATGCAATATCATGTGCTTTACATGCAGCGTCTAATGGGTTAACACCTTTATCACCACGTGCTAATCTTTTTGTCAACTTTGTACCGGGTCCACAGAATTGGTATCCAGGTAAATGTAATTCAAAAGGTAAACTATTGATAATACGGTTAACTAACCCTCTACCACGACAAAGATGTTTTTTATCACTTCGATGTAAAATCATTCTACACTCTATGAAATTTGATGTGCAACTGACTGTAAGACTATAAAAGCCGAGTATTTATAGTTTACAGAGCAGTTACTGTCAAGATGCAGTTCACGAAACAACCTGTAGCACTCCCAATCACAAGTATTGACGTTGAAAGTAGTGAGAAAAAAATTCAACGTCATGGTAGCTTGTTTTCAGATAGCATCCGAGCTGTCTTTTGTGGTCCCTCAAATTGTGGTAAAACAAACGCTCTTCTCTCTTTAATCATACATCCAAATGGTTTAAGTTTTGAAAATATTTACCTATACTCTAAATCTCTGCAACAACCTAAATATGAATTTTTAGAAAATGTAATTCATGACGTGGATGGAATTGAATACTTTCCATTTAGTGAGCATGAAGAAGTAGTATCTCCAAAAGATGCTAAACCAAACTCAATATTCATCTTTGATGATATTGCTTGTGAAAAGCAAGACAATGTTAGAGCTTTCTTTTGTATGGGTAGACATGTAAATGTTGACAGTTTCTACTTGTGTCAAACATATGCTCGTATTCCAAAACACTTGGTGCGAGATAATGTAAATTTACTGGTGCTTTTTAGACAAGATGAAAAAAATTTAAAACATGTCTACGAAGATCATGTAAATACAGACATATCTTATACTTATTTCATTTTAAATTAGTATAGTTTATGTTATCAAGACGAAAACATGTATCGTAAAGAGCAAGAAACACTTCGTCAAATAGCAAAAGCAAGCGACGCTATTAGACGAAAACATCGCTTACTTAAAATGGGTAAGGAGGCTGCAGAGACATTGTTAAAAGAAACTCTGCAACCAATAGTTACACCTCTTCAAAAGTTGGCAAATGTAACTGAAACTCCTTTCAAAAATGTTAAAATTGAAAAATTCAAGAAAGATGATAATGATTTCTCTTTTTCAACTGCTGTTGACGATGATGAAGAATTTGATAAAACTCTACTAAATTCAACTTTACTTGATAAGAGCAATAACTTTGAAAAAGAAGAAGAAGATTATGAAAAAATTACAAATAAATTTATTTTTATGTTAGATAAAAATAGAAAACTGTTTGTAGATACGGTTTATGGAGTACGTAAACTTGCCAACGGTTCTTTTATGATTGGTGATACACCTATTGAATTTGAAGGTTCACATATTAAGCTTATTGGAAAGAAAAATTATTTAAAAACTGCTGGGTTACTCGAACTATTATTTAAACAAAAACCAAAAGAAGCTTTAATAAGTTCAGATGATTTTTCAAATTATAAAGAAATTCTCATTGCTACGAATGCACATCGAAAAAATTATAGTGCAAGTGAATCTGTCAACATAAGTAGAACTTCCAAGTACACTGATGTTGTTGCAAAACTTATTAAAAGTACACCAAAGAAAAGTGGTGGTGGTTCTTTAAAGAAGAAGAAGAAGCATAAAAATATATTACCACAATTTATGATTGCAAAAAGACAATTTAATCCAGACTACATCTATTGGGATGATCCAAATGAACTCGTTGACCGTTTACGACTACTCATAGGATCACAGCAAGCTGGTAATCCAAGTCATAATAATGAGATTATGTCAATTATCGAAGAACTTCGTGAAGCTCGAATTATATATTAAGAGAGAGCATATAGAAAAATTGCTTAGTATTACAATGAGCGTTGATGTGTTCGGACATTCTTTAACACGACCTGCTGCAAGTCGTGGACTACCTGGACCTTCTGGCATTGGATTTAAAGTTACTCCAAGTGGAGATTACAATATTGAAGGCAAAAGACTTTGTAACGTTCAAGACGCTGAAGAGCTTCATGATGCAGTAAATTTACGACTTGTACAACAAATTATCCGAAACGAGATAAAAACTATCTTTCAAATTACATCTTCTTTAAGATCAGCCATTGATGATTTGAATATTTTAATACAAGTTGTTGAAGATAGAGTTAACGAAAAACTAAAACAAATTGAATTCCAACAGAATATTATTATCAAGGAAACTACATTTATTCCAAATGATGAATGATAAAAAGTTAACAGTTGTAACTGAACTGCATAAACAAGCGAGAAGGAATTTCCCTCGTCGTAAAGTTCAAATGCGTGGCATAGATGAAACCTGGCAAGCAGATTTGGTAGAAATGATACCTTACTCCTATTCCAATAAAGGTTTCAAATACATGCTCACAGTAATAGACATATTTTCTAAATATGCCTGGGCTGTACCTGTAAAAAGTAAAAATGGAAAAGATATTTCTTTAGCCATGAAATTAATATTAAAAGAAGGTCGCATTCCAAAAAATTTACACACTGATAGAGGCAAGGAATTTTATAACTCTGAATTTCAGAGTTTAATGCAAGAATTCAATATTAATCTCTATTCGACTTATAGTAATTTAAAAGCATCAATTGTTGAAAGGTTTAACCGCACTCTAAAAAATATGATGTGGCCTGAATTCAACTTACAAGGCAATTACAAATGGATTAATCTTTTACCAATTCTCATATCAAAGTACAATAATAAAAAACATCGTACGATTGGTATGAAACCTAAAGATGTCACCGTAGAAGATACAAGAGAACTGATGAGACGCATCCGTAAACTAACAAGAATTCCACTGAGAAGACAAAAATTTAAAGTTGGAGATAGAGTTCGAGTCAGCAAACATAAAAACATCTTTGAAAAAGGATACACCCCCAACTGGACAACGGAAATATTCACTGTAGATCAAGTTAAACGAACAAAACCAGTTACATACAAACTTACAGATTATGAAAATCATCCAATCGAA